TTGATATTTTCCTTGCTGTACTATCTGAACAAATTATTTTTTATATGAGATTCGATATCTGAGACCCTGTCTGGGAAACCGCAGGCTGAAGAGAAGCACTGGAGAGTGAGAATGTGTGTGTGAAAGGAGTCCAAAGGGGCACCTATCAGTGGAGACGCCCACTGCGAAGGGACTCCAGTCCCAGCAGGAAAGACTCGGGGGTTCTGTGTGCGACTCCTGCGGTGGTGTGTGTGTGCTCGAGTGATCTCTCCCTTAACAGGCAGAATCCCGTGGGATAAGGTCCTGGAGAGAAGGGGGTTCCCAAAATGGCTTTGCTTGTGGTTTTCTTCTTTTCAAGCTCACACGTGGTGTCCTGTCCCACTTGGTGGGTGAGGGCAAGGTTCAGTGCTGAATCTCTGTGCAGTAACCCGGAACAACGCTTTGAGAGGTTCGATTAAACAACGATTTTATTAAAGGATGTGAAAATACCACGGGATGAAAACAGAGAAAGGACTTAGAAAAGAAAACTTAAAACAATACCGCCACCTACTGACAACACTAGAAGTTACAACGATATGACAACTACTAACGATGCAGCGCTATCACAACTACCAACAATACGAAGACTACAAGGATATGACAACTAACAACCACTATCCAAAAACCCACAATCACTTATTAACATGGGGAACTTGTAATTGCTTATTAATACTAAAAACTCGTACTCACTTATCGATTCTGCAAAACTTGTAACGACATTATGCTCTCATGCGAGGAGTAGATTTAGAGAGAGATGCTTGAAATGAAAAGGAAAAAGGAGAGAAGGGAAAGATTTCAGAAAGATATCACCACCCTTGGATCCAGCAGCAGTCTACGTCTTGGGGTCGTCTGAGGGCAGGCGCCTTCACAAAGTTAATTCACTTTTTATAGAGAAAAGTTTTTGGGTCTCTGCCTGACTTTCTTCAATTAGCATAAGAAGCAGAGGATAAAAATGTCTTCTTCGTGTTGGGGAGGTGCTGTAAGTACTCGAGTCCCAAACTTCAAGGGAGCCCAATGATAACAATGTTTTGTGCTCCCAGGAAGTGGGACTTTCAGCGGTGCCTCTTGTCAGCGAAGGAGCAGGATTAGGGGTCCCTCAGCACACAGTCGCTGTCTTGTACAACCCAGATGTTGGAGACAAACCATCTGTTCCTGTCACCTCTGACAAGGCTTCAGCAGAAAATCACTTTCATCCCTCACCGGGGTGGGAGGATGCCGCATGATCGCACTGCAGAAAAGGGGAGGATGGAGACAGGTCTTCCCTCACAGCTGGGGGAATCTCTCAGGAGGGGTTTAACATCAGACATCTCCCTCATTGGCTGCCTCTCCCTCACCAATTCAGCTGCTGTTGTGTCACCAAATCCACAGGTGTCCACTGATTCAGAGGACAGAAGAATGGAAAATCCCCATGCCTTCAGGACAGGGGAAAAATGGGACGGGCGTCTCCAATTCTCTTCCTGCCCAGCTGTCTAACTGCTACTTCCCAGCACCAGCAGAGCAATAAAAGTAAATAAATTGCCTCAAGCCCTTCTAGAGAGGGGTGGGATCTCAGTTTAACCAATGGCTTGGAATTAGGAAGAGAAATCTCTCTCCTTCCTGAGCATTCCAAAGTGAAACAAACTTGGTTACTCTCCATGGCAGCCAGGATGTCTGTGGAAATACTCCAGGATGAAGTCTCCTGCTCCATCTGCCTGGATGATGAAGGGGAGCTTTTCCAGAACCCCGTGTTCATCCACTGCGGGCATAGCTTTTGCCGAGTGTGCATCACTTGGCACTGGGAAGGATGGACCACTGACTTCTCCTGCCTCCGGTGCAGGGAGACGGTGCCGCAGCAGAGCCTCTGACCCAACGGGGACTTGGCCAAAATCACTGGAGCAGCCAAGAGCTCAAACCTGCAACAGGTCAGAGAGGTAGAAGGAGGGGAGAACTTGTGTGAGAAGCACCATGAACCCCTGAAGCTCTTCTGCAAAGATAAGCAAAAGCTTATCTGCATGGTGTGTGACAGGTCGAAGGTACACCATGAGCATTCTGTGGTTCCCGTGGACGAGGCTGCCCAGGAGTACAAGGTGAGTGGTTTATGGGCACGTTGACACACAAAGGGCCAGAAGTTCCTGGTGTTGCTGCCCTCGGTTGGTGCAGACACCTGTACAGCCTTTGGGCTGTGGGATAAACCACCTTTGGGCTCACCCATCCTTGTCTCTTGATAACAACTGCTGGGGGGGCATTACCCAAGGAAGGGGTGGACATAGGAGCACCATGCTCTTGGGAACCCAGGGGATCTCTGCCCCAGGGTTCAGCCATGAGCAGAGGTTTAGACAAGAACAAGAAGCACCGTGTGCATATGATTTCTCACCACCCAACACCCAAGTAACCTTTTAACCTCTCCATTTGCAAGGCCAGGTGTTTGCTGAGCCTCCTGACGGTTTGCTTATCCAGCACCCATAAATGGCTCCTCCGCCAGGATGCAGGTCTATGCTGAAGATCAGTAGGAAAAAAAAAAATAGAAACCTCAGCCCTTCTCCTACCCCACAGCTCGCAGAAATAATCTTGATCTTGCTTTAAAAAAAAACAAACCAAAGACCCTCAATGAGTTTTGAGCCAGCTGTGGACCAGGAAGCACCACTGGTGTTGCAGTAGCAAAGAGCCTCCCTCTGATGTCAGCCAACAATGCCATTAACCAAGGGACTTCTTTCTTTCCTCTCAGGAACAAATTCAGACCCAACTGCAGCATCTGAAATTAGAGCAAGAGGGGTTTCAATCTTCCATGGAGCGCAGAGAAGAGAGAGTCCAGGACTACACCGTAGGTGCCATCAGTTTTCCTTTGCAGAGGATGGGGGAAGAAAGGAGGAACATCTCCTCTTCCTCTCTGCCATGGGTGGGTGATGCTCCAGGGGTGTGGGGAAGGGAGAATGGGTTTGTGTCTTCCCCAAAGTACTCTTTTTGGTGGATCCAACTAATGCATGACCCTCTGTTGACTCTAGATACTCCTGTCCTGCTCTCTGCTTTCCTTTCCCTGCTTTGGCTTGCCTTTGGCAGAAGAAGAGAGAAGCTGAGAAGCAGAAGATTGTGACTGAATATAAGCAGCTGTACAAGTTCCTGGAGGAGCAGGAGTCCTTTTTGCTGGCCCAGCTGGAGCAGCTGCACACAGAGATAATGAACGTGCATGGAGAAAATCTCTCCAGCCTTTCGGAGGAGACCACGAGACTGGGCTTGCTGATTGGGGAGATGGAGAGGATGTGCCAGCAGCCAGACTGTGAACTCCTGAAGGTGAGAGCCCAGGCTTTCCAAACTTGCTGTGAAGGCACTGGTGGAGCACCAGCCTGGGCCCCAGCTCTGGGTTTTAACCCCACCATGCTGAAGGAGGGACTTCCTTACAGGGGGACCCTGGTACTCCAAAGGGAGGTATTCCAGGTCACTAACTCTCTTTTTCTCTCTCATCTAGGACGTGAAAACCACCTTCAGCAGGTATGTGGTCCTTGTCCTATCAAAACTTCACCCCAAGAGAGTAGCTTTGTGTCAGGATGCTGGGAGAAATCATGCAGGGACAGGCTGTCCCTTTGGGCTTGACTGAGGACACTGGGGTTTGGAAGGAGGGCTCTTCCTCTCCACTTACTTCATGGTAAATTCAGACCCGTACTGGCACTAACTGGGTGCCAAGACAGAAGCCCCTGGGGTGGATCAGCAGGTCCATGGCCATGCAGGGATGCTCCTCCAAAGCAGCTTGCAAAAGGGAGAAATGGTTCAGGGCTGAGCTGAACTAGACCCCTGGACCGTGGGTGGGGATGTGGGTCCCAGGTGGGTCTGCTCAGGGCTGTTAGTTCCCATTGGGAGCCTGAGGCAGCCACCTCATCCTTTCACAGCTGAAGCAAAGCAATAAACATCTGCAAGGGTGATGTGTGATCCTGGTGTGTCATTTGCTGTCTAATATGTGCCATACAGCACAGACCCATCATCTTCCCTCCACTAATTCTCCCCTCTGACTGCTGAGAAACACTGAGGAGCAAACTGCAACCAGGCGTAAACACATCCCCTCTTTCCTTCCAGGTGCAAGACTGAAACATTCTCACACTCCCTTGATATTTCCCCTGAGCTGGAAGAGAAATTCTGTGATTTAACCAAGAAAACTGCAGCCATCAAGGAGGCTATGGAGAAATTTCAAGGTACCGTGCGCAGGTCCAGAAAGGAAAATGTTATCGTGCTGTTTGGTGGGGAGGGATGGAGTGAAGCCGTGCAAAAGAAATACATCCTGGTTGTTGAGTGAGGGATTTTTTTCAAGATCCGCTCATGAGATTGCAAATGAGCAGCAAGTGTTAGTCTGATATTCCTGCCTGCTGCTGTTGTTGCCTGTTGCACTGAGTCCCACATACTCCACATTAACTACGGGAAGACAGTGTCTTGCTGCTGTCTCATGCTCTTCACCACAGACATTCTCCAACTCTTTGTTTTCTTTATAGCAGCCCCTCTGTGCGTGGCTGAATTTCATATGTGGAGTCCTACTTTTCGCCTCTCCCTCCTCAAGTTTCTCTACATTCCCCCAGCTCTCTGGATTTTTGCAGAAATCCAGAGTCAAACCAGTTTCTCTTTCTGCCTCTCACATTTTTCTCTTTCCTCTAGGCATACTGGAGGAGCTCAGTCTTCCTTTAACAAGTAAGTGAACTCAACATGTCCCCAACCAATCTAGGACAGTAAATCAAAAAATAGAGTAAAGCAAGCTCTGCTGCCCCCAAAGAATAACCTAACCTCATCTGCTGCCTCCCTTCCTCCTTCTCCCATACTGGTCCCACCACGAGGCAACGCCTGGAGGAGTCCCAACGGGATCGCATGATGGGAAGGGAGATAAAAAGCCTTGTGCCCCCCAAAACCTGCTGCAATGAGCCTGACTCTCTCTCTACCTCCAGCACAGGTGACACTGGACCTGAACACAGCCAATGCCAGGCTTTACCTCTCGGAAGACTGCAGAGTCGTGCGGTGGGAAAGCCATGAGCAGGACCTGCCCTGCAACCCGGAGAGGTTCAAAGAGTGTCCCTGCGTGCTGGGCTCAAGGGGCTTCACATGGGGTTGGCACAGGTGGGAGGTGGAGGTCAGCAGAGAATGCACGTGGGCCATTGGGGTGGCCAAGGAGTCGGTGTTGAGGGCGAGGTTTCCCCTGAAAGGGGGGATATGGGCACTGCATCACAGCAGAGATGAGTACGAGGCTCTGACCTCTCCTCGTAACACCAGCTTGACCCTACGCAATGTCCCCCAGCGGATCCGAGTCTACTTGAACTGTGAGGAAGGGAAGGTGGAGTTTTATGATGCTGTGAGCAAGGATCGGATCTCTGCTTTTCTGCGGGGTTCTTTCAAAGGGGAGAAAGTCTACCCATGGTTCATGGTGTTATGGGATGCTCACCTCAAACTCGTGTTCCAAGGCATGGGAGAAAAGAAATAAACATGCCATCCACTCACCTATGTGGAAAAAAAAAGCTCAGGTTCTGAGCTTTGTCCCAATTCCACCATGAGCCTCTGTGGCTTCCGGTGCCACTGGGCAGTGGGGAATTGGTGGGACCAGACAGACCATATGCCAGGGACATCCTGGAAAAGGAACCAAGGGAAGGAGGAGTCCCCAGGCATATCCCAGCCTCCATGATTGTTTCCACGCTTAATGCAAAACAGACATAGCTGCTGGAGCTGGCACCTGCCATGGCATCGAGGACAACCTCTTCCCTCCAAGCCAAGCCTGAAATGAAAAGGCAACAAAAGGGTAGCGGTGTTCATGTTCCTTTCCTTTAGTGGAAAATGGGACCATTTCTGTGCCTTCAAATATATTTTCATCTTTGAATCACTGAATGTTCACTGACTGTTCCTGGGTGCCTGCAAACTCACCCAATTGGGGAATTAAATGAGCAATTCTAAGTAATTTCTGCCTTGGGTGTTTTCTTTTTGGTGTTTTGTTTTTGTTTTTTCCCCATGATTTTTCTTTGGAACTTGTTTAAAATAACTGGAGGAAGGAAAAATAATCTTAATTCCTCTCTAAAACCTACTGCACAGGGAGATGATAAACCTGAGTTTTTTGCACTGTCAGACACAGCAATTCTGTGGAAATGGAGATAGTGAAAAATCAGCGGCCATCCGGGAGTTGGAGTCATTTATAGCTCGGTCGGATCTTGACTCAGTGTGTAAAGGGGAAGACAGAACGGGGAATAAACCCATAGAAATAGGATTGCTGCTTTTGGTGTTGGCTCAACATGATCCCTGACACACTGGGCTTTACTCAAGCAAGAGATCGGACTTCTTCCTTGTGAATTCCTTCCTTCTTTCTACGATGGGGTCACAGCATTGGTGTATGAGGGAAGAGCAGCTGACATCATCTGCCTGGACTTGTGCAAAGCCTTTGACACCTTCCTGCACAACATCCTTGTCTCCAAATTGGAGAGACATGGATTTGACAGTGGGACCAATTGGTGGATAAGGAACTGGCTGGATGGTCACACAAAGAGGTGTGGTCAACATCTTGATGTCCAAGTGGAGAACAGTGCCGGGACTGGTGTTGTTTAACATCTTTGTGGGAGACATGGACAGTGGGACTGAGTGCTGTGTGGCACGGTTGACACACTGGAGGGAAAAGATGTCATCCAGAGGCACCTGGACAGGCTTGAGAGGTGGGTTCGTGTAAAACTCATGAAGTTCAACAAGGACAAATACAGGTTGGGAGGGGAATGGATTGAGAGCAGCCCT